CACCAAATTCTTTTAATTTGCCCATTAATATTTCAATTCCCTTTAAAGGATCTTCCAGAACAAATACCAAGTCATTTGCAAAAGCCCTTAACTTATAAGTTTTTTTTTAATCTTTACTCCCACAGTTCTCTCGTCTTATTTATAACTCTATTCAGTATTTCAAGAAACAAAATAAACAAGAGAGGAGACAGTGGGCATCCCTGTTTTGTTCCTCTTTGTATCTCACAGGGTTTTGTTAGATCACCATTAACCATTATTGGTGCTTTCTGTGAAGTGTAAATCAATCTTAGCCATTTTATAAAGTTCTCTCTAAAATTAATATATTCCAAAACTTTGATGTTCCCTGTAAATAAAGTGCCAGGGACCAACACTTTGCTTTGTACACTCCAGTTTCACAAAGGAATTTTAGGACAAGAAAGTAAAGTGAGGTTAGAAACCTGGCAGCCAGAATGTTTCTTCCTCCCCAGTAAACATATAAAATAGCACAAAATATAATCTAGACTGTATATATTAATTGTATGCATATGTTAATATTAAGCAAGAGGGATTCCGAAAGATATAGACCAGGCCTGTACAACATAAGGCCCATGGTCCTCCAAGCAGCCTTGTGTAATCCACCAGTATTTTTCAAGAAGTCAATAAATTTGCCACTGCTGCCCCCAAAGATGCGCTGCTGAAGGCCTCCAATGCCTTCAAGCCTCACTGCTGCCACCAGGTCCAGCACTGCTGCTGCTCCTCTAGCCACTAAAAGCTAATCGGTAGCCATAATGATTTTTTAATTTATCAATGTGGCCCTTTCCCCCCATATGTTGTATAGGCCTGACATAGACTCATGATGGAAAAGGTCTTCTGATACTCTCAACACCATCCATGATTGTGATACTTTCGAGATTTCTCTGCAGATTTTTATGCAAAAGGGGGGGAAAACAAGTGGATGCTTTAAATCTACTTTTTCCAATTTAATGTTTTCTAGTGCTCAGTGAGCTGGGATGATTCTGTAGGTTTGGTACATCTGGTGGGAAGAACTGGGATGGGGGAAGGAGTCTTTTATGCTCCCAAGTATTATCTTCTTTAAAGACCTCCCTTGAATTCTAGGAACTTGATGTGTTTCTATACCAGCAGGCAGGAATCCAGTTATATTAATGACTGCTAGAAGAAGCAGGATTTAGCTTTCAGTGTCCCCTCCCCTTTTTAAATGGACCTTTGGAGACAATCTCTTATTTTTATATACAGATGTTGTTTTATATTCACTTTAAGTCCTAGCGTTATTAGGATATAGTGGGATAGAAATTCCATACTAAATGAATAAATACATTTCATTAATTACATCAACATTATATAGCAATATGTGGCAATGTTAAGAAGCTTGATGGTGCCAAATTCATTTAATAGCTTTCTCATTCATTGACTAATTTGCTGTTGGCCTTCCAGAAGCTGAAACACACTGAAAGTGATAAGCTGCAGGTGCAAATACAGGCTTACCTGGACAATGTCTTTGATGTGGGAGCTTTGCTGGAAGATGCTGAGACCAAGAATGCTGCCTTGGAGAGAGTTGAAGAACTGGAAGAAAATATATCTCATGTTAGTATCAATTCCATTCCTTTAAATATATTTATTATGGGGATTTGTGAAAAAAGATGCAGATTTTTTTTTAATTTAGAAAAATATTATAGAAAAAATATATAAAATATATTTTATAAAAACCATTGTCTCTACACATTAGGCTGTAATTACAAATGTACTTTTTCTTCTATATACCTGTTTCTCTTGATAAAACATTTTTGCTTAGTTTGTTTTAGTTATTGCTAATAACTAGGAATAAGAACTAGGAAAAAAACTAAGCTGCAGAAAAAACTAAGCTGCAGAAAAGGCAATTTTACCCTGGATAGTTGGCTTCCATTTAATTTAAATGACAGTTTTCATCTAATGTCCCCTGCTGATGAAGAAAGCAATTTTTCACGCAGCGCATGGTTGAGTATGGTTGTAGAAGGTATAATGATGATGGGAAACCCTTGCAAATATATTAGACAAAATCAGGGAGGATAAGCATATCATTGGCCAATAAAACAATATATAAATACAATAAAAACAATATATTCCCTCTATTATAAAAAATAGCATTGCCTCAGATCCCAATGCTTGTGGAATACAGGTAGATGGCTGCTATTTCACCCAGATCCTGGGTCTTTGTGGCCAAGTGTGAAAGTAGGACTAGATAGATCTTTGGTCTGATCAGCATGTCTCTTGTGTTTTTATGGTGGTAGAATTGGGAAGGGGCAATATTTGGCAATTCCTCCTTTCCCCAAATATTTAGTAATTCTACAGTCTCCTATTGCCCATTAAAACCTGTTTCATACACTATATGAACTGTTCTTTTCTTAGTAGATCATTGATCCAAATAACTCTGGTGTATTCAATTTTGCAATCCCCGGTGGAATCACTTGGAAAAATAATTGCACCAGCAAAGCTGTGACCTGTTTCTACTCCCCACTAATTGAATATCAATCCATAGTTGCAGAGAACATACCCAACTATTTCATAGCTTAAAAGTATGCACCTAAGCCCCTTAACCCCAGATATTCAGCAAGACTTTGCAAATCGGAGCCAGAATAAAAGGGCATGGCTTACGCATTTGACTTTGTTCAGCAATAGAGATTATGCTGGAGTGGAATGGATGGATTTGAACTTTATTATTTGGTTTTGTGGAGATCAAGGCTCAAGGATAACATGGTAACTCAGAAAATATGAGCATAGCGCCACTTAATCGTCTGTCTGTCTGTCTACCTATCTATCTTTGTAGCTTTTTAGTGCAGTAAAATCATTTCAGTTTGTGATTTACAGGTCAGCACATTGCTGGAAACATAGCAGTTATATAAATCTGGTTGCATTGCAGCAAAGTGACACAAACCAGGATGCATGCAGTGATACAGACCAAGAAGCCACAGTAAACATCTGCTTCCCTTGCCCAGAAGCTGCTAGTGATTCCAAACAAGGCAGAAAGCAGAAGCCAGCTCCAAACCACAGCTTCATATCCTGGCTTAGTTCAAAGCAATTGACTATACAGTATTTGTTTGAGTATAGCATGAAACTCTGGCTGTGTCTTCTTGGTTTGTGTCTGCAGTTGTCCAAAGAGTGGGAAAAGTGGCAGTACAGTGACTACACTGATGCTGCAGAATGAGTTAATGGAAAATTAAATTAAATGGTTATAGTCTATGGTATAATAAAAGTAAATTAATTTCTGTAGTGAACTTACATATTTTGCTCCATTCATAGTGTTCTCCTTGTTACAGAACAAATGTAGCTGAAATCGAGTCCTCACATTAAGAATGTTATTTTAAGTAATTGAGCAACTTATGTCTTTCAGAGCAGAAAACATCCCAAGATAGCTTTCAAAACCAACAAAAATATTAATTAAAGCACAGTATTACAAAGAAAAATCTTTAAATTAGTTTAAAAAGAGCAGTAATCACTTCTTTCCTCCGGTGTATGAGGTTTTCTGGGAATTTGAACTAAGAACTCAAAACAAAACAAAATCATACCAAGAGAATCCTAAAGAGATGCTGGATCTCCAACCTTTCTACCATAGAGGATCAATAGACCAGTTAATCTAAATGCTGAAATTCAGTATAATTAAACAGTTTTGGCACCAGCTCCAAGATGTCTGGTGTTCTAGAATAGTGTTCCAGAATAGATGGGGAGAAGAAAGGAGGTCTTCAGACCAAGAGGGGAATTAGTTGTTCTAAGAAAAATGGAAACTTTCCAGAAACAGAAGGAGATCTATTTTCCTAATAAATGTACCTGCATCCTAAGTAATGTATGATGAATCTAAAGAACTTGGTAAATGTTTGGATCTTTCTTTTTTTAATCTAACTCAAAACATTTTATCTCAAATGCACTGCCCAAAAAAGATAACTAGGAACTTGCAATTATTGTAAGGACTTAGGAAGATGTGTTGTATCAGATCAAACTACTTGTTCACTGTGAGATTTCTTACCAACTAATCATTCATTTTAATAATATCTAGTTATCAGAAAAACTTCAGGACACAGAAAATGAAGCTATGGCAAAGATTGTGGAACTGGAAAAGCAGCTTATGCAAAGAAACAAAGAACTGGATGTTGTTCGAGTAAGTTTTCTGAAAGTTCAGATTTTAATGTTCAATAGCTTTGCTTCAAGATGCATCTTTGTATCTCTAATTGCTTATAGTTGATCAGTACTGTACTTGCACTATATAGGAACTATGTATTTCCAAGTCATGCATGTATTGTGCCATTAAAGATCTAAATCTCTTTATTCTTTTGTCTAAGCATATCTATCTGCCATTCTGCAATTGCTAATATGTAGAAGATATGCATATGTCTCTGCCTTTTTTGTATGATTGTAATTTGTAATTCCAAGGAGTATATAAAGGTCTTCTTTCATGTCTCGCAGCTTATTAACAACATGTTTCCCTTTGATCCAGCCATTTGATGCAATATAAGACTCTATTTTCAAAACAGGAAACTGGGGAACTTCAGTTGTATGTGTGTATGTGTAGAAGTGCTTTAGACTTCACATCAATCCCTTTGGATCAGCTCTGGGTTTCTGTATTGTCCATTGGGTATGCTTGTTCTCTAGATCCTAGATGGATTCATTTAATTAAATACAGAACATATTCAAATAATATGTCGATGCTTCCCATTTGCTTGAAGTGTGTAGGCATATCTAATGGAATGGGAGAAGAGGGAAAAATCATAGGTCCAACAGAAGTGAGGCAGTTTCATTCCCAACATTTTATGGAAGGTGTGATTTACTTGGCTGAAGTAGTTTGCCAGGCAAGTTACCTGTGTTTACTTCAGATGAATATGGTCATCATTATCTTATCTAGGTAGAAAACCATCATCACAATACATTCCCAGGTAATGACTTTATTGGAAATCCCATGTTTTCTTTGACACTGTTTTATCTTTCAAATGAATTCTTTTTCTGTGGGCTCCTTCACAGGAAATTTACAAAGATGCAAATACACAAGTTCACACACTAAGAAAAATGGTCAAAGAAAAAGAGGAAGCCATTCAGCGGCAGTCAACACTAGAGAAAAAGATCCATGAGCTGGAGAAGCAAGGGTCCATTAAAATTCAGAAGAAAGGAGATGGTGACATCAACATCCTACCTGTTGGGGTGGCTTCCGGGATGGCACCAGGAGGATCAGAAGGTTCAGTTAGCATTTGTGGAGGGTCTGCCAACACTGGGTCTTCAGTTCCACTTCCACCTCCGCCACCACCTCTGCCACTGATAGCAGCAGAATCAGAAACAGGTAAAAGTGGGCTAATTGAGGATTGAATAGAACTTACCCAACATAAGGTCACGATGATTGGTTCATTAAACATTTAATGACTTCCCATGGAATTGACACCATTCTCAGCAACCTAGCATTGTTAAAGTTCTTTTGAAGCAAGTGGGAGTTAAGTGTTTCATATATTAAGTGTACCATGTTCCCTTGCTAACTCTTACTTTCAAGTACTTTCTTCAAACCTTTAAGGTCTACCTTCAAGCAACTATCTTTAAGAATGAGCTGTTGACTGGGTGAGTTTAGTCTGCCCTGGATTGCACTTACAATTTACCGTACAGCAGCAGCTGTAGTAATTCTTTCTTGCCACTGTATAGGTAATGCATTATCCAATAATAGCATTAAAAAAGAGAGAGGTGTCCTTGACCTGAAATGATTACATTTTTTATATTCTTTGAACAGATATTATAGGCCAAATCCACAGATGTTATTTTCAGGTGGTTCTTCTCTTCTTTTGAAGATAAATTATAAGCCAAATTTACAAGTGGTGTCAATCTGAATGGGTTAGTCAAGACTGGTAGCATTGGGTTTGAGGACTTTTACATTTTTCTGAAGCTAAGTTACTTTCAGAGAAGGGGAAGTTGTCTTTTGCCTGAACCCTGTTTGACTTAAGATGATCTAGAAAACATGATATCTTGTGATATTACCATAATAATTCGGAGGATATGCTCTTGGGACAACATAAGCCAAAAATGCCATTGAATGTCTTTAGCTGCATTTTATTTGTGAATTCTGAAAGTAATAAGCACCAATGCAACAACACCATCATACAGTTGACATGGATTTAGCTCAAAACAAAGCATTGCCTCCCACTCCTTCTTGTGCCGCTTTCAGAAGGCTGAAAACTGGAGCCAAGACTGCTAAGTGCCCAGTTTTCCTTTGCTGCTGCTGTGTCTCCTCCCTTCTGCTGTTATGTTCATTTAACTATGAACATGTGTCCTTCCAGGATGGGGAAGGCAAGCCATTGTGCGGATTAGGTTCAATGTGTTATATTAGCCATTAGGAGGCCAATCAAAATAGCATCAATCTGGACATTTTTCTACTTTGTGAACAAGACAGAGAAAGGCTCTCCATCAGGAGCACCTACAGTTCAGGGAACACGTCCTGTTTCTGTTAATTCTGTCATATCTTAATATTTATTTATTTATCACATTTATAAAGCTGCCCATCTCACAGACCATGACACTGGGTGGTGTACAATAAAAACTCATCATAAAAACTAACTATTAAAAGCATTCTACAATTAAAAACACCAGTCAAAGTTACCAATGACAGAGTAGCAACGAGAGCTATCAGGATAGGCCATACAGCCATCATGCTAATTCACCACTTCCTTGAGATCCCCAAGTCTGATGGCACAACTGGGTCTTCTGGCAGGATGTCAGGAATGGGGTCAATCTCACCTCATGAGGAACGATGTTCCACAGGGTGGGAGCCATAGCAGAAAAGGCCCATCTTCAAGGTCCCGCCAGATGTAACTCCTCCACAGATGAGACCCGTAGCATACCTCTTCTACCAGACCTAAAGAGATGGACAGATGTAATTGAGTGGAGGCGGTTCCTCAAATAACCCAGCCCCATGTCATGAAGGGCTTTAAAGATCAAAACCAGCACCTTGAATTGGATCTGGAAACAAACTGATAACTAGTGCAGCTTATGGAGCACAGGTGTAACCTGTGCCATTCTAGAGGCACACATAACTGCCCACACCACCACATTTTGTATCAGCTGAAGCTTCTGAATATTTTTCAAGGGCAGCCCCATGTAGAGCACATTGCAGTAATCTGTCTGGAAGGTGACTAGGGTGGAAGTGACTGTGAGGAGAACTCCTGGTGCAGGAACGGGCACAACTGGCGCATAACATGAAGCTGTGCAAAGGCCCTCCTAGCCGTGACTGCCACCTGCTCTTTCAGTAGGAGTCATGAGTCCAGGAGGACCTTCAGATTGCGCATGGGGTCTGTCTGGGGCAGTGCAACCGCATCCAGTACCAAAGATGGCGTAGTCCCTGAGCCAGAGGGCCCCAGAAGCCAGAGCCACTCAGTCTTAGCAGGTTTCAGCTGAAGCCCGTTGTTCCCCATCCAGACTCCCAGAGTCTTCAGGCACCAGGACAGAACATCAACAGTATTGCTTAATCCACCAGGGGCAGAAAGATATAATTGGGTATCATCAGCGTACTGATGCACCCCATGGTGGCAGATGATCTCACCCAGCGGCTTTATGTAAATGTTGAAGAGGAGAAAGAAAATTTCCAGCATGGTGTGATCCGGCGATGGTTTCTTGAGGAGGGGTGAACCAATGCTTCCTTAAGGAGCGGAGGAACAACCCCCTCACTCACTTAATGAAATGTTTCTAAATGCTGTGTATATTTTTCATTTCACAGTGCAAAATGGCCCCATGGCAACACCAATGCCTCCTCCGCCACCGCCGCCGCCTCCTCCGCCGCCACCGCCACCACCTCTTCCTGGTCCGGCTGCAGAACCAGTGCCAGCTCCCCCCATCCCACCTCCCCCATCAGCACCCCCACTTCCAGGGATGGCCTCTCCTACAGTTGTTTTCAACTCAGGATTAGCAGGTAAGAAGTAGCAGAAAGCATGATGCGGGAGCACGGTTTCTGCGGCTACAGATAGGATACAGATTCTAAACCAAAAACTGCCCCCAGTGAAGGGTTATGAATCCCCTTTTCTCTCCTGTGCATCACAGGCAAGTCTTCTGTGCCATGTTATAATGCAAATGGCTGCATTTGAAGTGAGGAGGAAACAGGAAATAATTACTTCTGAACTGTCACATGTAGTGTAGATCTCAGAAAAACTTTAATGCATCAGAAGGAGGAAAGTCTTATTCTATTTCTGTCTGCCAAAACTGAAAAAATAATAGCTCATATGTGCTATTAAGCTTAAGTGGGACTTTTTTAAAGCACCCTAATGCAGTTCCATGATACAGAATTTCGAAACCTATCTACAAAGGATACTTCCCTGATGACTATATCAGAATGTTGCCCAATCAGCATTCCAAGCTCAGTTTCAGAATACATAAGTATTTCTGAACTTAATTAACATTGCAGGAGCTTTTCTGCTATTCGTGATACTAGAAGCACTGTTTTACCTATTCCAGTCCATCCAAGTTATAATCTTGAATTGCTCCACCTGATTCAGACTTTTACAGGAGATCTAGATAACTGTTGTCTTTCTCTTGTCTTTTGTCACTTTGTCTTCTTAAGGAATGTTATTAGAGAGAGAGAGGACAGTGTTGTATTCAACTTGCAACCCTCCCATTTTTTTCCATTGCTGCTTCTGTTATTTATTTCAGCAACAAGACCTATTAAGGAGAAAAAGACAGATTGTCTGTGGAGTGTCTTTTGTTTGAGAATGCTATCTATCCATGCTATCTATCTATCCATTTGCTCTTCCGTGTTATTACAACAATGTAATGGAAACTCGCTATATTGATGATACAAGAGGTGAAGGATATGCTGATTTCTCTCCTAGAAGTTTAGTCCTCTAAAAGAAAATTGTGCTCACGTTGTTAGAATCAGCAGGACAGTCTTTAGATTTGAAGTTTATTAACTCACACCAAATGCTCCGAAGCGAAGCACTTCCAAAATGATGCTGTTTGTGAATGGAGATAATGAAATGAGTAAATACAGATTGTAGTGTATAGATTGGGCCATGAAAAAATTACATTAGATTGAGAAAAGCTCAGTATCCTTTCGTAATATATTTTGAAAACAGACAAATGATTCTTACCTTTTATTAGTTCTGTCTGTGCCATTTTCCTCTTAAAGAAAAGTAAAGGTTGCAGTAGGATCCAGTTCTTTTCTTTTTTTCAGACATGCAACCTGCATGTTTTATTTTTTTAGACTTTTGTGCTATTCTTACTTAAGAACAGCATTTGGATGCCTGTGTCCCATTGGGATATTAATTTGGCACCACTGGAGCGTCAGCTAGCCAAATCTAAGTTATTTTAGTAAGTGCTTTCTTTCACCTTTCTCTTGAATTTAATCCAACACTTGTTCGTCTTCTGATAGTATATGTGCATTTGGCCAGAGAAATTCAATTTTGGTTTCTCAAAAGGCATCTCACTGTCTGGGCAACTCTATTCATCCTATTCCAGTTTTTTTCCCCCAGCTTCCACTCATTGGCTTGGCTTAATCTTTAGTCACAGTCCTCCCTGTAAATCTGATGACCAGTCATCCTGCTAATGCTGTATTGTCTTGCTATAATTAATACAGTTTCTTTGTGTCCAGTGTGACTTGGAAGAGACTGAAGTGTAACTCAGATTGGCCCATTGAAATCCATTCAGTCCCTGGGGCAGAAGCTCATTAATGTGAAAAGCGCTCCAAGAATTCATAAATGTTGCAGCCTCTTTTAGGCATAGCTGGAACACTTGTATTTTGTATTTGCCTCTGAACCTAGTGTCATGCTCAATACGTGACTTGAAAATGACAGCTATTAAGAACTTTATTCAAAATACTTGAATCTTCTGTTTTCCAAGGCCCAAGCACAAAAGAGATTTGTCTAGGGTAGACATTGGTGGAAAGACTGTTTCATGTGATGGACCTCAATGGCTTAATGCTGTTACATTATTTAAGCTAAATGTTGTTAATTGCTAAATTGCCAAAGGAAAGAAGAGTGAATGTCCTATGTTGCTTGATGCCTGCTTAGGTGACATCAGTAGAAGATTCTTGAGAGCCCCATGCTTCATTAAATGCCAGGGTAATATATTAAGATAACATGGTGCAAGAAAATATACTTTGCCATAAAGCATGAGTGGGTGGGTGGGGTGCTGTGGCCCCCCAGAAGATAAACTCCCATTAAACTCTGGCCAGATGGCCATTGGTCAAGAATGATGGACATGATAAAGCAACTTCTGGAACTGATTCCCTATCTTTGCCTTATAGGTGAAGGGAGGTTAAATAAATACGCATGCACACACACACACACGCACACACCTCTTTAGCCGCCACAACTAAGCCACTTTTGTAGTATTAAGAAAATCTATAAAGATGCATCTCCTTTGCAGGCTTGTAATTGTTAATTGAGTATAATATAAACTTTAATTTATGCTTTTAACGTTTTATATTTTGCTTCTGTGTTTTAATTTGCTCGTACTCCTCTTAGCCAGATTACAAAGACAGGCAAAAAATGAATAAATAATGAATAAAATTATTTCTACGTAGAAAAATAGTAATACATGAAGAAGTCCTATCATTGTTTTGTTTAAATAAAAAATTAAATGTCCTGTGATTTTGTTGATTACTGTTAACCTTTTCTTTTTTATTCCCTTTGCTTCACTTTAAGATGGGCCAATCAAGCTTTTCTGTAGGTTCCTTCTTACTAAGTATTTTACAAGACTAACCCTGTTTTCTAATACTTCCCTTTTCTGCCCTGTTACGCTTTGTGTGTGTGTATGTGTTCATGCATGAACATACACTGACATTATGGCTGTGCTCTGTTTCAGATGAAAAGCTGAAAAGGTAGTTCAGTGTGGGCATGAACTGTTGGGGGAGATGGGTGGCATACAAATTAAATAAACAAACAAACAAACAAACAAATAAATGATGTTCCTGTCAGTACCACCTTAAAGAAACGGGGTTTTCTGCTGGGCTTGCACAGTAGTAACCATGCAAATATAGTGGTACCTCTACTTACGAACGCCCCTACTTATGAATTTTTCAAGATATGATCAGCTCCGGCCCCAAAAATTTACCTCTACTTGCGAACTCGGCTCAACTTACGAACCGGATCCGCGGCCATTTTCCGCCCGTTCCACGTGGTCTGCGGCCTTTTCCACCCGTTCCATGTGGTCCGCGGCCATTTTTTCCACCCGTGCCATGTGGTCTGCGGCCGTTTTTCCGCCCTGCCGCATGGTCCGTGGCCATTTTCCGCCCGTTCCACGTGGTCCGTGGCCATTTTTCCACCTCTGACACATGGTCCGTGGCCATTTTTCCGCCCTGCCACGTGGTCA